TCTCTTATACACATCTAGATGTGTATAAGAGACAGGAAGAGAATGGATCTGTGGCTACAACACGGAAAGATACAGCAGTCATGTATCTTCCCATTCTCTCTCTCTCTCTCTCTCTCTCTCTCTCTCTCTCTCTCTCTCTCTCTCTCTCTCTCTCTCTCTCTCTCTCTCTCTCTCTCCTTTGCATCCACCTCTAGGAAGAGAATGGATCTGTGGCTACAACATGGAAAGATACAGCAGGGGGGTGTATTGAGAAGATGACGTAGTAGGGGTAAAGTCAAAATTAATTGGCGCCTTGAAAGTTGGCGCGTACGGACTGGGACCGAGTAGGGGTATTTTGCAAAGATGATCTGTCCAGCTGATGCGAAGGGTATTTTGAAAAGATTTTTTAACTGTCAGAAGGGTATTCCGCTCTGCCCACATCTTTTAGGGTCATTTTGCCATTTATCTCAAATTTGAGGGGTATAACGCAAATTTTCCCCAAAAGAAATAGGGAAAAAAAAAGAAATATTTTCACGTTATTTTGTTTCTTTTGTCAAGACAATCCTTCTACCCGTCTTCACCCGAATTAGAACGTCCCCGTTTTCTGTCTCGGTTAATACATTGCTACCCCCGGTGTGTACTGTGCCCAGAACATACCGAAAATTTAAAAAAAAAAAAGAACGTCCGTTTCTGAAAAAATAGGAAAAAAAAAAAGGAGGTCGGCAGGCGTTGGGTAGCGCTTCGGTGCGCTAAGTTTGCGCTAGTTCGAGATCGGATGTAGCACAGCCCTAGCGCCCCGGGGCCGGCCGAAGCTTGACGGTGAAGTGGATTCATCGAGTCCTGTGGCCACAAGTTCTGGAAAAATGAACGCCCCGATTGGAAGAACGTATGGCGGTGCCATATCCTCGGTTGTCCATACCCTAACCTTCTCCTTGATTGGAGGGGGAGTGCCTTGCACTCAGGGTATGGGCCCCACTCGGTCTCCTTTGGCTTCCACCTTACTCAAGTAATGAAACCTTTACCTCAGAAAATGACGAAGAATAGGCATTTAGCCTCATTGGCGAGATCAAGTCTGGAAGAGACAAAGAATAGGCATTTAGCCTCATTGGCGAGATCAAGTCTGGAAGAGACAAAGAATAGGCATTTAGCCTGATTGGCGAGATCAAGTCTGGAAGAATATCACTGCTCATTCCTGTGGCGGCAGGCGCGAGTTTCCGAGATGAGGATACGATACGAGAAGCGACACGGCAGACGTGAAGGATGGCAGCAGCGTCTATGCAAGCAGTGCCAGAGCTAGTATGGGCAGTGGGAGTGTTGTCGCCAACACCAAGGACACAGCGGGACTCATTAGTTTCAGGTTCGGCACTTGGTCTTGGTTGTTGGGTAGATTTATTTGTTTGAGTTTCTATGTGTTGTACTGAGCCGTATTCGTTGGTTTGTGACGAACCATTTTCTGTGACGCGCGATTTTTCTACGCGGTTGCAACGAGGGGTCCTAAGCTGGGAAGATTGGGCCAATTACGGGAAATCGGGATCGGTGGAAAAATTGCATCAGTACCCTTGCTTTTTCATCTTTTTCGTCGCTTCTTGTCGAATGACTGGGTTCGGAGCTGGGTGTGTCTTGGGATGGCCGGTTGATTGGTTGGTCGGATGGATGTCTGGCGCGTCGCTACGCGCGCTCGCGATTAATAAATGTTGACGTCGTTTCTTTCGGTTCGATTTTGATCTTTTGGGCGCGGACATCGCGCGGGAAATTGCTTCGTTCTTTTTGAATTTCCTTTTAAAATCTTTTTCGGATTTTGTCGAGCCCCTGATGGCTCTCGAAATTTCGGACTTTCCTTCTGGAACTTATGCTTTTTGCTTTTTCGCATTAGATAGGAATTTAGGAATTCAGTAATTAGGATTTTTTCTGTCGCGCGGCGCCTTTTGTCTACGCGCTTCTTCATGCGGCTGCAACGGTACTCTGATTAGTGAGCGCCCTTAATTGTGTGTGTAACTGTAATTTTGGGCGGGCGCCATTGTACGTGTATCTTTCTTCTTGCACTTCGTCTCTCCCGCCCTCCCTCTCTTTCTTTTGCTAAAATTTTCATAGTCCGCGGCTTGCATGCTCGGATCGATGCGTGGAGAAGGGTTACGTCCCCCACGCCGCGGCCCGATCATGCAGAACGCAGGCGCTCCCTCTCTAATCT